CCCTTCCAAACAGTAGCTCAGGGGCTTGTGTGTAGGGTTCCTGGGGTGCACGGAGCGCTTCGTCTGGGGAGCCGTGGGGTGGGGGGGGTCTGCATTGCAGACACTGTTGTGGGAATAGGGTCCAAATGAAGACCGTGGTCCCATTTGGATGCTCAGTCTGGACGCTTGGATCGCTGCTTCCAAATGCTTCCCGCGTATTAAAGGGACTACCTGGATAATACGCTCTGCAGCATTCCTATTTTATATTTTTATAATCTTGACTGATAATATGCTTATTTTAAGCAGGTTTTTTATTTTCATCTATTCAGACTTTCACATCAAACAAAATTACGGTTTTTAAACATCCCCCCCAATTGTTTATCTATTTACATTTTCACAGTTTAGAGAACTTTTTGGAGGGGCATCAGATGTGGTCTGTGCCTAGGAAAGTTCATGATACCATCTACATGTTTTGTTAGTGTTTAAAGTGCTACCGTACTATTTGTTATTTTCCTGTACATACTAACCCTCTGAAGCTGTTTAATAATCGTACATGCTGAGATTAAAAAAGTTAAGTCTTATAACAGTTAAAATACAAATTGCCAACATCACGTCAAAATATACAAAGTAAATATCTTTAAGTGTTCAACATTTTTCTTATTTTGCCTATTTGTAAATTTCTGTTAGCAATGGAAATATTTTTTCATCTGTATGGGTATATGGTGAAAGCAGTGTTCATTTTCATTTACCAACAAAAGACTAATCTTTCTCAGCCTAAAGATAAATAATATTAAAAACAATTCCTTACCGGCTGCTAGTGACATATCATGAAAGGGACATCAGCTTAAAAATCACATGTAAATACATTCATTTCTTTACCTATCTTACTAATAACATCGGTGTTTATTACAAGTGAAAGATTTTAATATCTCCATTGTATCTGTTACTGTTTTATTTACTTTTTGGATTTCAGTTAGCTTGGACAATGAAAATCAACGAAGTAAGTTTTGCCTTTGTTTATAGTCACTTTCACTTAGGTCTCAGTGTTGCAATGTTTTGGATTTCAAACATTGTTACTTTAAAATTTGTCATGGTTTTTATTAAATTGTGGCAATATTCCTGTTAGATTATTTTTTACCATTTTTTACCATATTTTAATTTGCTGCCAAATTTAAGGTGTTGGGTTTTTACTTTTTAAACCTGAAATAATTTTTTAAAACTGTGAATCTATTATCTCTTCCCCCCCCTCCCCTCCAATGAGACATTGTCTGTTGTCTTTTTGCACCTCACTCAGTTTAGACAGTGAAATTACACTGGTTGCTTTTACTTTCTGGTTCTTGTGTATTAGCTCTCGGCTGCTGTCTGGGTTCTGGTCTAGAAGGAGGGGTAGGCCAGCAACTCTTTCTACCAAATTTAAAACAAGTAATGAAAACGCTTCTGCTCATGTGAAGGTTTTTAAAACTCAAGGAGGTGAGAGCGGGGAGGGTTAGGCCTGAACTAAGTTGAAGTGACAAAAAGTACTTAACACTAGGGATGTGAACGAGTAGTCGATTAACCCAGAAGACTAGGCTTATGGGTTAATCTAGTTGACTACTTGCATTCCCATCCCCCTTGCTGCCTCTGTATCAACCGGTTCCCCTCAGCACTGCCTCCACGGTGCCATCTCCCCCCATTTCCCCCTCTGATAGAGGCAGCAGTGCAGGGGCACCGGGGGAGGCAGCTGCGAAGCATCCCTGGCCCGTGACAGTCACAGGCTTGCAGCAAACAGAGGCAGCCTGTCCCCAGGGAGCTTGGACCCCTTGCAGACAGGGGCTGCTGCCATACCAGTGCTGCTGCCTCTGTATCAGAGGCAGCAGCTTGGGGTGGCAGGCAGCTGGACTGCGCGGGGAGCTAGTTTTTAAACTGGCTCCTCTCTCAGACTAGCTTCCTCCTGGCCCTCTGTGCTGCTGCCTCTGATCCAGAGTCAACAGCGCGGGATGGCAGGGGGCTCCCTGGGAGTGGGGCTGGAGTGAACTGGCTGCTTGCCCTGCCCTTGGGGACTATAGAATAATTGACTAACCACTAAGAATTCATGCGGTTAGTCGACTATTCCACATGGGCATACACGGATTTCCAAGGTGAGGAGCCCCTTGCGCTGCCCAGGGCTCAGAACGGTGGTCTGGAGGCCAAGCATACGCCTAGTGAATGAGCTGCAAGCCCTTCAGAGCAGTCGTGCTTGCGTTTGGGATTCTGACCCCATGGTAGATCCCAGAGACGTTTTCATAGGGGGAGGAGGTAAACTTTTTTCCTTTGGAATCTAAGGCCCTGGACAGGTCGGGCATTTCAGTGCAAGTTAAGTTACTGGGGGTAAATCTCTCTGGTATAGCGTCTTCCGTGGGGATTTGCACAAGTGTCACACATGCTAAGTCTGCACTTTGAGCCAGGGGGGTCTTTTCTCTTTTCTTTTCGCTTATGGCTACGTGTACTAGCTCTTATTGAGCTAGCGGGAGAACGAGGTAGTGGGGGGACAGTTGCCTCGGGGCCCAGTGATTTAAAAGGGCCTGCCCCTCCTAGCCACAGCCAGTGCTATAGTGGCAGGAGCCCAGGGCCCTTTGAATCTCTGCTGGAGGTCTGGCTGGCGCATGTGGGATGGCACTGTATTGCTGGCTGGGGGGAGGCCAGCTTCAACCCACCCTCCTGAGGCTCTGCTGCTTCTGGGGCCTGCAACCGGCCCCTGCCCACCTTTCTGAGGGCTTGGTGAAGTCTGATGGCTGCCTTGAGCAGGAGTATAAATAGCAGCATAGCCTCGGTACCATGGGTGGCCTGGGTGGTGTCAGAAGACACGCAGATAAGCCGTGCCTCTTCTGCCCTGACGACGTTGCTATTTGTACTTGTGCTCGCTTGGTAAGGTAAGTGCTCGCACAAGGTGTGTGTAGACTCGCGTGCAGTGATGAAGTTACGCTGGTACAGCTGTTTCCAGTCTAAACAAGCCCTAAGCTTTCACCAGAATGATTCTTAGCCCCTCTAGCAATGAGGAAAACTTTGCCAGGGTGATGTGCAGTGATCAGGTCAATCTGCATGGGATGCGAATGCCGATTTAGAGCACCGTGAACTTTGCCAAGTTATTGGGTGTTATGACTCATTTTGCCTGACACAGCAGAAATGAGTCTGTGTCACGGTAGTTGCATGAAAAAAACCCCCAAGTAGTCCCATGGCACCCTAGAGAATAACAAAAATATTTCCGTAGTATCATGAGCTTTTGTGGGTGGGAGGAAAAAAGACTGGTGGGAGGGTTTTGCGATGGGGAAAAACATGGGTAGCCTGCATCTAATAAATGTGGCAGAATTTTTATGGCCAGGAAGAGATGTTTCTGCTGCAATAAGGATCAATTCCTCCTCTCGTGGAAGTCAATGGGAAATCAAGAGATTCTTGCTCTGTCCTTGGTTCCATTTCGCAGAATTGGTTGGGACTGGCTGCCACGACATGTTCTGGGACCTGACCTACATTCTGTGCTCTGGTTATCGGTGTCTCCACGGTGGGAATGT